CTGTTTCTTAGTCCCTTGATCTCTGTAGCAATAGATTCTCTGCTGTCTTCTATGCTTTTTTTCAAGCTGGCGATTAATTCTATGACTATTATTCTAAATTCTTGTTCAGTTATGTTGCTTAAATCTCTTTTGATAAATTCTTTAGCTCTCACGTTTTCCTGGAATTTCTTTTGAGGAGAATTCTTCCATTTCATCATTTTGGTTAGTTTTCCGTCCCTTATGAGTTTTAAAAGCTTATTATATGATCTGCACCTTCAAGCACTGCTGTAGTAAAGGGGGCAGTCATACACTGTCCAGAGCCTGGCACTTTAGGAGGTGTTTTTTGGAGAGTGTTAATTGCTCTCTGTTGTTGTGACTGTGGTTATTTTATTTCCCTACCCGTAGTGATGTTTTGGACCCTCCACCAGGTATGCTTTGATTTGTTCCTTGAAGTAGCCCTGGAAAGGAAAACAAACAGGAAACAAAAACACGCAAACACACAAATAAATAAAAACAAAACACTAAAATCTAAAAACAATCCAAAAGCAAAAAACCAGAAACACCATCTATAAGTAAAGAACAGGGTGGAAGCAGTGCTGATAGAAGAGCACATACAAAGAGAAAAATGACAGGGGCGGAGGAAAAAGAAAAAATAAACATTGACCAGGCAGAGAGACTAAATGGCTTAATCCAGAGAGAGAGAAAGGAAAATAAGGAAGGAGGTAGGGAAAAAGAAATGAAGATAAAGTTACCCAGACAGAGAAACTATACGGCTTGATTATTCCAGAGAGAAAGGAATGTAAAGGAGGTATATAGAACATGTATCAAGAGAATGGATTAAATATGTCTGTTTAAACAAATCAACCAGAGTAACCAGCCTAGAAGAGGGAAGAGGTAAGAAGGAGAAACGGGGGAGAGAATATATCCATATATCCAGAATTGTCCTAGAATTTATCCAGGCAATGCTGCAGCGCTGTTCTGGAGATGCTGTCGTCTAGTTCCACAGCATCCTGCTCCAGTAGATATGCAGTTACCCTGTGCTGAGGGGCATGGTTTGGTGTAGGCTGGTCCTCCCTCTACTGTGGGCCCGGCAGACCGATCCTGAGGCCCTGCCTTGGTGGTGGTGGGAGAAAAATGGCGACCCGCCCCCCCCCCCCCCCGAGCCCCAGTCTCTTCTCCATGACCTGGTGCCCAAATCACTCCTTTGGAGCCATCCTCATTGTCCTGCAGGTGCAGACGGGGCTGTCTCACTCTGCCAACACCTTTGCCCCAGGGGCTTGGCTGGAATTTAAACTCCTGCTCTGTGCACCCTGGTAGTGGGAAAGTGCCTCCTGACATGAGGTCCCATCTGGTTTTGCCGTGTGCCCCAGTCCTTCAGGGGAGGGGACTGGTTTCTCCTGCTGCAGACTGCACCCCCATCTACCACTGAACCCAGAGTTGGCTCCCCTCCTCCCTAGGTGTGTGAACGGGGCAGCTCGCCCCAGTCCGAAGATGGGACCTGCAGTTAAGAGATGGGATCCCTCTCCGTCCTGGTCTGAGGCTTTTCTCTTGTCCAGATAGTTTTAGGCCTCCCCAGCCACTCTTTCTCTTCCCTTTGTTTCTCACCAAAGGGCATCCCTCCCTTCCATGCCTACGTGGCCCATTTTATCTCCCCCAGTTCACATTCACCCACCTACCGTCTCTCACGTTGTCCCCTTTTCTCCCTGGTAGATTCAGTCCCTTTTCTTCCCAGACTCTTGGGGTTCAAAGTCCTTTGGCTTCAGCCCTTCTTTGTTTGGGAGACGTGGGAAGTAGGATTCCCCTACTTCTCCACCATGTTTGCTCCACTGTATGTACTTTTGATTCATTATATGGATTTCTGTCTTTGTGCATTATCTGCTCATATCTTTTGTCCATATTTCTATTGGGTTGTCTTTTTCTTATTTACTCTGCAATACATGTTGCAAATTATTTTTCTTCTCATTGCCTTAGGCAGCATCCAAAACAATGTTGAATAATTGTGACATTAGTTATTTCTATCTACTAAATGGAACTAGCTCAAATATTTCTGGTTGTAAAAAACAGTAGGAAACATTAAGTTAAACAGCCTTTATCATGTTTACATAAGTTTATTCCAGTCCTATTTTACCTTGAGTATTTCATTTTGAATGGCTATTCCACTACCATTCTTTTTCTTCATCTTAATTATTGCATTAAGTTCTACATTGTTAAAATGTTTGTCATTAAAATATACAGATATTTTTAGATAAAGTTAGAGAAACAATGTATTTATTATTTGCAAAATTAATTCTAAAAATTTAACTGGTTCCTAAACAGGCAACAAAATTTTTAAATGAATTTACTAGTAATTTACTTTAAAATGTTTTTAATTAAATGAATCAAAAGATAAAGCAACTTATTACTGTATTTATTATTTTTTTATAAAATGCATTTTCAGAAATGTTTCATTAGAAACTGGTGCTACAAAAATAAATATAAAACAAATATACATGTTTACATATGTTACTTATAACATAAATACACATTTACATGTTCAAATATTCAAAAACTCCAGCATGTTTTTTCCATGATTCTCAACATGTCTGAGAAGTAGGGAAAACAATAAAAAAAAGCATAAATATACCACACACCATTCATATTTTTGCTTTTAAAAGACTGTTCAATACAAACATATGAACACAAAGTTTGGGGGCATTTGTTCTAAAAGCAAAGTCAGGTATATTATTTTAATCTATAACCAGTTCATATTTATAAGTTTTATTCTGCTTTGTTTTTTCATTAGGTTATATCCATTATGGTACAGATTAAAATTGTCTTTTACAGAAAGGCTTTCTGAAAGGCTTTATTTATATTAAATAAAAAAAGTCACTTTACTTGAAAGCCAACAAAGTTATTTATTAGACTTAAAATATCTAAAACGAGCTTTAATCATTCAAAATTAGGATTTGGATTAGAAAACATCAAAAGGATGGAAGAAAGACACTGCAATTTCTGTTTGATGTATTCTGGTAGTTTTTCATTTTCTCCATACCTAAGTGAAGCAAAGAAAAAAAGACAAAAACATAACTTAATTACTTGGTTTGTATGTAAGTACCAAAAGGCATATTATATTTTTCAATAGTTCTTCAATGAGAAGAGGCACTGCAGAAAAACTATACAAAATCATTTCAGTAGATACCTAAATCAAGTTAAGCATATCCAATGTGCTTCCTTTTAAAGGAGACCACTTTCCAAATGTATTTAAATAATAACAAGAAAATTAGGTCAAAAAACTGGAACCGGCTATATATATAATTTCTAAAACAAGTTTAAAATTGGATTCTTTATTAAATTGAAGGCCCTAAAGAACACACAAAACCTTATTAAATCATTTATTTCAATATATAGAGAAAAAAAATTATATCAAAGGGCTAAATGTCAACCATTATTCTAAGAACTTACCTAGTTGTTTGACCATTTGGTGATGTGTAACTGATGGAAGACACTCCTGCTTGCACAACCAACTGGGACCCATCATTGAACTGAACCCACACAGCTCCACTAGTTAACTAGAAAAACAATAAATGCAAAATTACTATATAGAAGATTTAAAGTTCTTAAAAGTTACTCATGTTTAACAGGTTTTTCACATAGTTAAAAAAAAGCAACCCTCTCAGATAACTACAAATTTGGGGCTGTGATGGTTGTAACACTGAGAATATTCATATCTTTTTAGATTATTCCTTTAAATAGCTGGGGCATTATAATATTAAAGTTATTCTAAATGAATCCTTTTCCCATTTATTTCTACTAGTATGTTGGAGTAGTTTTGCATTCTCTCCCGTACCCCCTACATCTCATTAGCATTTCTAAACAAGAAGAGATTTAGGAAACAAAAGTAACATTTTCTTAAATTGTAAGATTTCTCTGTATTTTCTGTCCTTGGGTTACAGAATTTCTCTTCTACCTGAGAATGTTACAACTGAGCTTTTGCAACTTGTTCCTTTAGTCACTGATATTTGATATAGTCACTAATATACAATGTGCCACTCCAAACAGCAGAGAGGAGACATGGACACTGGAATCAAACAGACCTGGGTTGACATCCAGATTCTGCCAACTAACGAGTAGGACTATGCAAGTCAGTTAACAATTATAAGCCATAATTTTACTATCTATAAAAGGAGATAACACCAACTTTACTAGGTTGTATTTTGGGGAATAACAAGACAATATATATGAAAAACATGGCACCACATAGCAGGTACTCACCAAATGCTGAGTTCCCTTCATTTATTTCCTACCCACAGAAAGGTTTAGGCTGAATTTTAAACTTCATTGACAAGTAAAAATTACATGCACTATGCTCAAGTCTCCAACCTTCAAGCTTTCAGATAATATACACATTTAGGCTTATACCTACATGTAATTCTGTAAGTTTGGAAGTCAATGTAGACTTAATTTTTAAATGCAAAAATCCTTTTCTGCCTAATGAAAGTTACTATAGTAATAGATTACAAACAGTTTCTAAAACTTGAATGTCATGAACATCATTCTCAATTCCTAACAATTAGCCACTATCATGACACTTCTATTCTGCCTTTTTTTTTTTAATTGAAGCATAGTTGACATTCAATGTTATGTTATATTGAACTTCAGGTATATAATATAGTGATTCAACAATTCTATACAGTATTCAATGCTCACCATCTGTCACCATACAACTATATTCCCTATATTATACTTTTCATTTCTGTGACTTATTTGTTTCACAACTAGAAGTTACAAACTAGAAGTTTGTAACGCTTAATCTCCTTTACCTAGTTTGCCAATCCTCTTGCCCTCTGGCAACTATCAGTTTGTTCTTGTTCTCTGTATTTATAAGCTTGTTTCTGTTTTGTTTTTTTAGCTTTCACATGTAAAATCATATGATATTTGTTTTTCCCCCGACATGTTTCACTTAGTATAATACCCTCTAGGCCCATCCATGCTATGACAAATGGCAAGATTTTATTCTTTTTTATGGCTGAGTAATATTCCATTGTATATATACACATACATCTTCTTTATCCACCTATCAATGGACACTAGGCTTTAAAACACTTGCTTTTAAAACTTCAAAAACAAAATCACCTATACCTTAACAATCTGTTATCAACAATACCTAGATTCTTCCAACTGTATACAAATAAAAAATGTCAAAATGTTTAATATAATCAATGTAAAAACTCACTTGCAAAGAGAAATTTACAAGTAATAATTTATACTTTTTGGTAATTGTCTAATCACTATAAAAACCAAAGAAATTCATACTAAGAAAATTCACTTTTCTAAGAACTTCTCACCTGTGTAGCCCAACCAACGTTTTTCACAAAAACAGATTTCAAAAGTTGTGCTGATTTAGGAAGACAATCTTTTAGACTACTAGAAGGGATGTTTGTTCCAGAAGCTGCAGCTGTAAGGCCATGTCCTTCATTTGTAACCATCTATAAACATTAAAAGGAAGATATTATTCCCCAGCCAAATTCAGCAAAAATAGAAGATGACTGGATTTTCATTAGCTTAAAATAATTTTTTAATAACAAAGTTAAAAACTTGAAATATAAACATATAAACAATAAGCTTCAGATTTAAAGTAGTAACAAAAAAATGTAAATATATAACTACGTTACAGAAAATTAGAAAGATGCAGAAGAAAAATCACATAGTTGCAATTTTCATGTGGGAAGTTTTTCTTTTTTCCCCAAGGTATTATTTTTCATAACTGCAATTATAGGATATACGTACGTGTGTGAGTATACATACATAGATAAATTTATTTAATTTTGCATTTTTTCCTATATTGCTGTAGTCTGTATTGGCATGATAGTTCACTGAATAAAAATTTAATAAGTTTATGTAACCATGAGACTATCATGGATATTAAAGCAGTAAATGATATTTTACTAGTAAAAATAAAACGAGAGGCACCTGGGTGGCTGAGTCGGTTAAGCGTCTGACTTCAGCTCAAGTCATGATCTCATAGCTGTGGGTTTGAGCCCCACATTAGGCTCTGTGCTGACAGCTCAGAGCCTGGAGCCTGCTTCACATTCTGTGTCTCCCTCCCTCTCTGGCCCTCGCCCCGCTCACACTCTGTATCTCTCTCTCTCTCAAAAAGTAAATAAACATTAAAAAAAATAAAATGATACATATATTAATATATTTAGCTTTTTCCTAGAGGGGCCAGGTTAGGCCTCACTGAGGTAACATTTAAACTGAGACCTGAAGGGGGCGTCTAGGTGGCTCAGTTGGTAGAGTGTCGACTTCAGCTCAGGTCATGATTTTGCGGTTCTTGAGTTTGAGTTCCGCATCGGGCTCTGTGGTGACAGGTCAGAGCCTGGAGCCTGCTTCAGATTGTTTCTCTCTCTCTCTCTCTCTCTCTCTCCCTCCCCTGCTCACACTCTGTCTCTCTCAAAAAATAAACATTAAAAAAAAAAACAAAAAACAAACAAAAAAAAAAAACTAAGCTGAGACCTGAAGGATGAGAAAGAATTAGCCATTAAGAAGTTGGAGAAAAGTTCCAAGTCAAGTGAATAGCATAGGAAAAGGCCCTGAAAGTTTGACTTTCTTGAAGAACTAAAAGAAGGCTCCTGAGGCTCAAGAATAGAGAGTGTAAAGTAGGAAAGGGAAAAGTAGGCAGATGATAGTAAGGCCATTATAAGGAATTTAAACTTTATATGAAGGGCATGAGGCAATCACTGAAGAGTTTAAAGTATAAAAGTGACATATTTACTTACAGAAGGATTAAATATTGGTGCCTGTTTTGAAGAAGCAGCACTATTTATGCCCATTTTACTCAAAGATGCTTTCTCCCTCATCAAGTAGTTTGGATCCACAGAAGGAAGAGGTGATAAGGTCTTAAGTGAACTAGTAATACCAGGTTTTCTGAAGGGGAAAGAAATGTTCAAATATATTCCCTTAACGCTTTCAAATTACAGAAAACTAAAAGTGTTCATAATATAAACATCAAACATTTTTTTAACATTTCCTACACAATTTAGGCATATTTAAAAAAATTTTCAAGCATTTACCTTCCTATGATTATTGGGAAAAATGGAGCACTTCCACTTTTCTTTTCCTCTTCTGAAATTATTGATTCCAGTGCTAAGCAAATATGATGGCCCTATTTAAAAAAATAGTGCTTTTTGTCATTACTTCACCTCATTTGGAATCACTATTAATTGGTATGAAAAACCTATCACAAGTATGTACATACCTCATTTGCATGGTCCATATACATTTTTATTTCCCTTTTCAAGCTATTAATTTCACTTTCACCTTTTAACGTATAAGATTTCCCTGTCTTTTCAATCACCTGAATTAAATCTTCGGTTTTGTGTATCTTTGCTCCTTAAAGAATAAAAAGAAAACCATTCTTTCATCATTTCTTTAAATATTCCTGTTTATATTCATTACCATACCAGTACATAATAGCTCCTAGATAAGGTATCATTTATATTCACTCACTGATCAGAAATAAAATGAGGCTCTCAAAGTATTCGATAAATATAGGCCATCCATTTTTCTTTTCTGCATACATCTGATTTACGTCCAATACTTTTATATTTTAAAAAATTACTAATCTCATACAAAAACATAATTGAAAGATAGTTATATGTGCACTGTGTGAGTGTATGTGCTAGGTGTCCCTTAAAGGAGGGAGCTTTACTGATTAAAAATTAAATCATCTTTATAGAACAGATTTAGAAAATAATATTCTCTGGTTCAACCCTATCCTTTTGCCACATTTATAATTCTCATAATTTGGTATATGTCCATTTGAGGTTCTACTAAGCAATAGGATATTGTTTATTTGATGTAATTTTGTACTATCAACCTGAATGTTGTTAAACTTGAGCTAAATAGGGAAAGAGGACTAATACACATATTATAGAATAAGTTGTTTATTATGAAAGTATATATGAATACAAATTTGTTAACATAATTAACATACACTGTGCTGTGTAATTTATTTGTATGACGATACATCTTAAAGATTTGTGATGCTGAATTAAAAAAAAAACTACTAAATTATAAACTAAAGGGAAAAAAATTACCATTTTTAAATGGTACTTACCATCATAAAACCAGACCTCAAAATCAGCACCAGGGGAATTCTCCATCAAAATGCATTTAGCGTATTTTGTAAAATAAGTGATTTTGGGTGACTTAGATCTTACAAGGTGTACAAATCTGGAAGCATACTGATATTTTCGCCAGTACTTCTCTAGGGGGAGAAAAGAAAAAAAATTATCTAATATTAGGAAATTAAGTGTTGATTTGACATACAAATTTCACTGAAAGTTTAATAATTGATTTCTACTCTTCCTCAAAAATTCAAGTTGATAGGTTAGTAACCTCATTACCAAAATAAGGTATTGTAGTGATGTAAGTCTATTATTTTAATGAAAACTAAAGATAGTATAATACAATTCTCCAGAAGTATATAACAAAATCTGATGACTAGTATCATGATTATTTAAAAGAAATCTTTCTTTGAATCATTGACTCCTTATTATAAGATTCCAGGAAAGTTTTAATAAATGAAATAAAAAAATTTCTACCTGAGATATCAGCATCAGACTCTCAGGAAAAGATATGGTTCTCTTTATGTAAGTAAAGCATAGAATTTTGTGGTCCCAATATACAAAATAAGTTTTTGCAATTCCCTGTAACTATAGTCACTTATAGTATTTAAACAGTCTTGTCTACCTGTTTGGAT